AAAAAAAGACATAGGTAAATAAAAGAATTTTAAAAAATTTTTTTTTTTTCCTTCCCAAATTAAAAAACAAGTACTAATCAAGTACCTGGGGAACACGCCGTGAAACGGGGAATTCCCACTTTGCCCTTCCCCCATAAGCCACCTTCTTTTTCCCCCCCCCCCCCCCCCCCCCCCAACATTTTTGCACAACCTTTTTTTCATTCCTCCGTCGGGTATTACAGCCAATCCCAAGAGAAACTGAGATCAATGCCTAAGCAAAATTTTGGGGGCGGGCAAATAAGGTGCATTATGGGAGATGTGCAAGTGGCGTGTGGATTTTAAAGGCCGAGACTTAAAACAGCTGTGAAAAATGACATCAAAGGGTCAGGATTTGAAGAACCGGGCGGCACATCCCCACCAAAAATTCCTAAGTGTACCCCCTGGGGTATCGCCAGTAAGGTCTAATGAATATAGAGCATAACATGTACAATTACTGAAGAAAAAACCATTATAGGACATCACACTATTGGATGTTTAACTTTATTAACCCAATTGGAGGCCAATAGTACAGGTTTAATACCTTCAAGCTCCTTCGGACTTTAACAGCTATAGCCAATCCGTCAGAGTAAGCGAAAAGCAATATTCAACAGCTTGGTATACGTTTATACTGAAACTTGTTGATTGCGGCAGAACACAGTTACAAGAGAACGTTTACAGTCATAGCAGGTCAAGTTTACCCCCAAATATTGCACTGATGAATCGATTATGTGAAAAAGTTTTCCGTAACCTGTATCAAATTCACGACCGCATAATGAGCAGTGAATTTTGGCTAGGGCCTCTTAATATTCGCTCAGAGTGAAAAATCTTTAAATGAATAACATTACTTTGAATACATTTACATCAAATTCAAGAAATTAATGTGTTTCAGGGATTTGATAGCATGAGCCCCCATCCTAATCTCGTACACAGATCTCACTCTGTTTTACACTTTCCCTTGGCCGTGGGAGATCTGGGTACGAGATTACCCCCATCCCACCCCCAACATCCCTCTTACGTTAGCATCCTCATCTTGAAAGGGATATAAAGGGAAAGGGGAACGGGAAATTAGGGCGCGCAAGAGCGTGAGGGGCTCTTCCCCCACCTTGCGCACCCCTCGCACTCTCTCTCACGCTTCAATTCCCCTTCCACCTCCCTACTTAACTGACCAAAGACTAGTTATAGTTATGTACAGGAATTTCATTGTTTGGATTTTTAATACAACGACACGATGATTACAACTAAAAGTGATAAAACGAAACGATACTGTACCGTATGCTGTTATCATATACAACAAATAAATATAAGTCTTAACATGCAAAATCGAAGAAGAACCACTAGACTGCAAAACAGTCGGTTTTTGTTTATTTTTCTCAAAAACGGTTTTGCAAGGCCCGAAGCACCGGCGTGATACTTTCGCGTGAAGCACATGGGCCAGGACATATGTGGCGCGCCTTCTTGCCGCGGGAAAACCTTCGCGTCTCTAAAAAGTCTTGCACGCCGTTTTCACCCTCACTCCAGCTAGACCTTTCCTTTAACCACTATTGCGCGCGCGCACACGTTGTCAACTTAGGCAATATACAGTCTAAGAAAACCACTTTCGCCTGATTGAGGACTCGCCGTGAGCAGCGGTTTCAATTTTTTGGTTATATGGTTGTGAGGCGTTTGCGGACGCATATATATATATATATGAGTATTTTCCAGTTATTTGAAAGGGCGTTTTGTTCAATCTTCCTATGTTTCATACTTTCTCTTTCTCGTCCAAAGTGCGATTTAGCGAGCCCTCCTTGTCGACCGTCAGATAACCTTCCTCTTTAAAATCCGACGTTTGGGGGCAACTCTCTAACATCTTTGGTAAAACGTGTTCATGCTCTACGGAGTTTACATGACGATTAAAACAAGGGTCCAAAAGTTGCGTCGGTGAAGTATGTTCTTTGTTCAAATCTTCGCTGTATGTACACTTAGTCTCGTGGTCGCGCGTGTTCGCGTCGAAATATTCGCCGTATGTATCATTAAGCGCGTGCTCGCGCGAGATGTCACACACAGATGGATGGTGTCTTCTAATAGTGACGTCATAGCCTGACTTCCCGAGTCGTTCAAGTCGCTTCATTTCTTCCTTGTTTTCGATAAGGTATACATCCTTTATAGTGTCTCTAAAACTGACTCTTTTGGCTGCTATCATCTCCATACTTCCAAAAGGCACTGTTCGCAAATCTTTTTTCTCCTCGTAATCAGAATTATCCGAGCCATACATTTCGTGCCACTTTCGGTTCGCTTCTTCCAACATTTGTGCCTTCTTTTTCTTTTTCTTGCCCGCCTTTTTTACTTTCCAGCGTTTAAGTGGCCTTTGTTTGAGATCTCCAAACATAAGAGGCTCTTGCTGTGTGTCATTCTGACCACCGGAAGACTGCGTCTTTGCTGTAAAAGAGTATAGAAGAAAAATCAACGCCGAGAGGAGAGCAACGATGAGGATGACCATCACTATTGCTGCCAGCGTACGAAGATCCAGTCCCTCTGTTTTTGGCTTTGGTGGCTGCAAGCGTTCTCCAAAAAGCCAATTGAAAATGTTCATTGCCTTTATCCGTGAGCAAGATATTAATTCAGAAAAAAACCATAGCTAAAATAATGATTCGACGTCAATTTTCTCTATTTGCGTCTCTGCCCTTTTGTAGTTTTTATACTCCAAGTAAAGCAAAGACATGAACTAAGACAACTAAAGAAAGACATCGATGCATCAATCTGAGTTTAGCGCAGTACGCGTACGAGTAGAATGTCTTAGCATGGATATGACAGAAGCTGATTAAGTAATAAATAAATTGATTTGGTATAATTAATTAAGTGCTTAACGTCATAAATATACTGCATAATTGTGCAACTTTTGGTCTCATCAAAAGTTGCAATTATATATTGCATTATTATCGTCCTTCTGGCCCTTTCTTTTTCTTTCCAGCTTTCTGTAGCAGTGCCCACAACAAATTTTGAGTGTGCTTGTTTACTTTCTGCCGTAGTAAATAACGGAGACTACCAAATGATCGACAGTATTACGGCGTTTCCTTCGGTATGAAGGCTTTCCATTTTTAAATAAAGATATTTCTTTACGCTCAACAGTACGCCATGCCTTTATGTGCAAAAATCCTGTCGAACCGTCCTGAACTAGGTATATAGTGAGAAGTACCACAGGCGCATCGAGACACTCAAGGCTGAAGGCTGAGCCTAGCCCTGAACACCCTAAGTGAGAACGAAATCTGCAATTTCTACCCCTAAGCGAGACGAAGGGTATCCCGACTATCCCGTTCACCGGTGATATGGGAGCCCTCCCCAGGGGGTGGGGGGGAGGAAACGTCCGTTTATTTCTCATGTGCATGCTACGCAGCCTATCCCCTTCTGTAATTTTAGGACCCTTTACGATCTGAGTCGTCAGGGCTGATCGCTGATTATCTATAGTCTGAAATGTCGGTCGTCTCCTCCCCTTAATTAGTAGCCTGCGTGGCTTCTCTCGCATTTAAAACTCCCTTTCCCTTTCAAACGTCTACCACGCAGGCTACCTAATTAGCCTGTGGGGGCTGATTAGGGACGGACCATTAGAAAAGTTATGGGGGGAGGGGGATTTTCGAGCCGCACGAATTTTTTTCGTTATCAAATTCCTTGTATGAATTTTTTTTAGGCCATAGCATGAAAATTTTT